ACAGAAACGCCTGCTGAAGGCTTGGGCTTTCATGCCATTTCCGTGGAGTGTTGGTATAGTCATTGTGTTCCTTGAAACCCGTATCAATAGATCTAGTGATTGATTTGGTAAGAGACTGCGAGAGGCAAAAAGAATACTTCTAGAGAACGATTTTTCTATATTCCCCACCTGCAGCTGATTTTCAATCTAGCGCTCTCCTCTGATGCACCCGCGCCCTCTTCGAGCAAGCGTTTTCATTATCTGTACTGTAAGCATTGAGATTTGTACAGAGAATTCTTTGATTTCGGACCCTCTTTTTAAAAACAAAGGAAATAGTGTGGAGAGTATCTTATCTCAAATCACTTTTGATTCTACTGCTTAAGAAGAATTAGTCCTCACATTCTCACTGTTTTCACTTGTTATCAACCTTTTTGCGTCTATTCATCGTTATAAAATGGTTTCGAGATAATCACCCCTCTGCTGTCTATGCAAATGAGCCCCTCGAAGCATCATAATGAATCCTTACATTTTCACTGCATTTAATGTTGTAGATTGATTTCTTTTCAGAGGAATCACACTAAGGATCTCTTCTGCTGTCTATGCAAAAATGAGCCCCTCGAAGCATTACGAGAACATGTTTCAAGCCATTTGTCTGTGTCGTCCGAATCATGCACACCTACACGAGCACTTTTATCCTACAAAAACGCGGACATTTTCTTAGAAGTGGGTTGAATAGTCTTTTTGCAAAATTATATAATAGCTTGTACTTTTCGAACTTTTGCTACCTGTTTTCGATTCATCTGTTTTCATTCATCATAGCAAAATCATTTCTAGACAACGGAAGAACCATTGTGTTCTAAGCTCCAAAAATCGAAAATCAATGTGCAACGTGAAGGAGAAGTTGAAACTAGCATGGAACAAGGTATTTTTTTCTTGAGTTTTAAACAACTTACTGGAAATAAGATAGTTTTTGGCCAGTCTCAGACACAGAAAATTTACCAATGACATTGGGGGATCGGGAGGAGGGGGGGAAGGGGAATAAGAATCTAAAAGTGGGCTCGGCCAGACTGTTTTGGGAGGGCGAGGAGGAGAGAGGGGGTGAAAGGAAACGCCTTCTTGGTTGTTATGCGATGAACAATCCGATCGACCATTTAATGATCAGTTTATTTAGATACGACAACGGATGCATCAGACACCGAATCAGCGCAGTCTATTACCTTAGAAGATGCGACTATACAAGAGGAACCACCTTCACATACAATTGAAGAGTTGCAAATGTTTGTATCTATTTCAATTTTTCATCTCACTTCAAACATATTACGATTATAGAGAAGATTATCCTCCAGTAGAGAATGGTAGCTCACGCGATGGCAGTTCACCGTCAGTCCTCGAAAAACAGCGACAAGTGCTTGCACAACTTCTTGATGATCTGGGACCGCCTCCGTCAGTCATGATCATAGAAAATCGTAAGAATAACAATTGAATTCGCTACAGCCTTGAAACCTCAGCCAAACTCTACACATTAATTTAGATCATGCCTCTATACGCGAAGAAGAAGATGAACCACAGCGTGCGGTACCAAAAAATTCTGTGATTGATGATGGAGATGATGTCCTGGTTATTGATGAAGCAGGCGAGGTTAGTTCTTGTCTCACTTTTTGACAAGTCTGAGGGACTTGATTGATTTGCTTTTCACTGTTTGGAATCTAATCGCAGGTTTTGTTTCGTCTTACAAATTCTTTCCAGCAAAATGTTCTTTCAATGGTACAATCCCCTCTTCCTTCAATATCAGTGGCTTCTGCAGTTGTGCATACAGTAAACGAAGGTGATGAGGATTGTATGATGATGGATGTCGTCGAATTGTAAGTATCTAATGATTTTCTAGCACCATGCAAGAAGTACCTTTTTATAATCGTGTTAGACCAACTGGCTCCGTCTCATATACTGTTGCGTGTACACGCGAAAAGAAGTATAAATGCTCGATGTGCAGCGAGTCATTTCTGCGAGAATCCACATGTAGATATCATGAACAAACTTCGCATCGCAATGACATCGTGTCGGATATCTGTGATGAGGTGATCTTTCCTTCTTTTATGTTCTTCAATAGTTCAGTGAAAAGCGAATGCACAAAGAAGGCCATCTAAAACGAAAATATCTATGACTTGTGAACTCGCAAGTTCGTTTTCACTTCCTACATAAATTGCAGAATTTTATATCTACGCACTTCTGTTTTGGAGAAGGCTTTTTGTCATGTCTTTTTAATCTCCTTCAGGTCTATGGTATCCCACTGGAAATGGAACGCTTTATGTACTTGTGCCAACAGTGCACAGTTGCTTTCGAAGATCCACAGAGAGCACGCAGACATCTTGCACAACATATGGTAAAGGG